ATATATGTACATATATATTCTTTTCTTACTGCTAGTCTTTCCAAACTTTGCTTCAAAAATCAGATTCTGAGCTTTGACAATAAAAGGTGTAAAACCCCTGCCTTAAATTGAAATGACCCCTAAAATCTCCATTTGTGGGGCCAGATAACCTTAGTTCATTGCCCCTACCTTACATTGCAACAACACAAAACTATGACTCCTCCAATGGCACAAATGTGTAAAAATGTAGGAGTAGGGCTAAGAGGTTGGAGGAAGGGTGAGTTTGGATTCAGCCTTAAGGCTTCACAGAATCCTTTCAATCAGCTTGAAGTCTGAACTTTGAACTAGTCTCTACAGCACTTTCACTTTTCGTTTTCAGGTCTGTTTTCTGTAGATCTGCATCAGTGTTTGAGAATAATCAACTGCTGAGGTGCCTAATTTGAATCAAAGTTCACCAGTAAGACAGATGGTCTCATTTTTGACTCTGGAAAAATATTCATGGCCATCTAAGTCCTGTAACTGCTTCTGTTTACTATGATTCATCGCATAAAACATAAGAACTCAAACATTTTGATATTGTTGACATTCACAGAACTGTGAGTTTAAATATGACACATATTGCTTTTAAAACCATTTCTCATTTAAACCATTAAGTTGTGGTCTATATGAAGTGGAACTGCAATGCTTTGGTCTGAATTCCACATTATTGTAGCTCCACAAGCCCCTTTTCTGATGTGCATCTGAGAGCAACTCATTTTGGTGCAATCTCTTTCAATGTAAATACAGCCCTTTGCATATCTGCTCACTCCCAGTGATATAGATCATGTCCATTCCACCCTGTTCGCCCATTTTTGAAGTTTGATAGCATAGGTACGATTAGTGGCACAGGAACTATTCATTTACAAATTAATTAAAAGATGTCAACAGAAAACTTGGCCATCCAACCTTGCATGTTGGACTGAGAGGAGAATGAAAACGACTAACCTGCAGAACCATGAATTCTGGAATGTGGTTAGCCAGAAGTGCATGACCACGTTTAGCAGTTCTGCAGCAAATACTTTGACAATATTGTTTCAAAAATGTAATAGGTCATATATGACCCAAACACACCCAGCATATAAAGATATACTATATTGCCAAAAGTATTAGCTCACCTGCCTTGACTCACATATTAAGTGACAGCCCATTCCTAATCCACAGGGTCCAGTATGATGTTGGTCCACCCTTTGCAGCTAGAACAGCTTCAACTCTTATGGGAAGGCTGTTCACAAGGTTTAGGAGTGTTTTTCCATTCTTCCAGAAGCACATTTGTGAGGTCACATACTGATGTTAGACAGAAGGCCTGGCTCTCAGTCTCTGCTCTAATTCATCCCATAGGTGTTCTTTCGAGTTGAGATCAGGATTCTGTGCMGGCCGGTCAAGTTCGTCCACACCACATTCTGACATCCCTGTCTTTATGAACCTTGCTTTGTGCACTGGTGCACAGTMATTTGGATGGGTGAGCAAATAATTTTGGCAACAGTGTATCTACGCAGTACCGGAGACTTGAGACTAGGAGTGCAGAAAAGTTGAATTTAAAGAATCCAAGTACAAAACATGCATTTAAAGTTGCATGATATGTCCCCTTTAATTTATGATAAAGTAATCCCAATTTTACAGGAGCCTATCTCGACTGGATATTATGTGTAAACAATAAATATGTGGGGTAAACTATGTGTCGTTTTGAGAACAGAAATTTAACCCCCCCCCATTTGTAAACCTTAAAAAATGTTTGGTAGTGGGCAAATGGTCGATAAACAGAAAGCAAAGTGGATATTGTGTTTTAAGTATTTCCCCAGTGTTTATTTAATCTCTCCAATGATTAATAATAACGTACTATTTTTAGCACAGTTTGCCTTCCTGACTGCTATTTGTTTGCTTAGTAGTTTTATTTTTTTTCATCAAAGCCTGCTACAAACAGACCTGTTGGTTACAGAATTGTACACACTAAAAGCTGTTTAGAATTATTGTCAAAAGGAAGCCTTTTTTTTCCTTGGCTATCCTTTTTTGTGTTCTGTAGTCAGCATTGTTACAACACAATAGCCTGAGCTGGTTCTGCCACGCAAAGACAAAAGGACCTGGAATTGGAATGAAGTAGAAAAAATGTACCTTGAATAAAGCTGCCATAAAAGACTCAACCCAAGAAACAGCTATATTTGTCCCTGGGAGGAAATCGTGCCATGTTTTGTTCTAGTGGACTAGTTTCTACATAATCACATATGTATGTTGTAATGATGCAAAAAACATTTTTGAAATTAATTATTAGTTGAACTTGGATCAAAATGACCCCTCAGATGTTATTTTGTGTCTCTCACTCCAGGAGGCTCTGAGACAAACTTGTAGCTGGGGAGCTGGATCTGAACCAGCAACTCCTTGAATACAGTATTAGTCATCTGGTCTTCCTGCTAGGCCATAACCACCTCCACTGAGACCAAGAGATGGTTTGCAGTGGAGCTATGACATAAATTTTTCAAAACATTGCTTTTTGGCTATCTATACACGACACTCCCTAATGTTCTTGAATGAACAGTCACTTAGGATCAATACATATTTAAAAGGGGCACAAAGTGATAATTATGGTTTTCACTGTTTATCGGTTTTCATACAAAATTAACACAATATATTTTGTAACTTTTAGGAGTGGGCAATACTAAGAATTTTGGTATTGATCCTTTATCCAGTAAATGCAAAGCTAGTATTGTCGATACTGAGACCTATCATGTTCACTGAATATTTTGTGATTTTACGCTTACTCCATTGATAAAACACAGGACAAACATTTTTGTATTAACTAACTTTAACAAAATGAAACAATAAAATAAATAAAAAAATGCAACAATGTGACAAGTGTATTAATATAAAAATGTCAATAATACAGCAAAAATACCTTCCATTGCATGCTGGAATGACTAAAAGGACTAATGACTAACTGCACTACTGACATTTGTGAAAAATGCAGCCAGGAGTGCAAAAYAATTGAACTTAAGAATCAATCTCATCATTCTGATACAATATTTATGTTGGTACTGACATTATCGATACTTAGATTATTAATACACCAACCCCTATAGTAGCTTTGATGCCAGCAARGAATGAATGGTGGTGCAGAGATTGTGAATGTGAGCGTGTGTTTGAGTAGCCTGGTTTAAACCAGACCCTGTCCTTCACTTTGCTTCATACAAGGGTCTGGACTCGCTGCATAGAGAATTGATTCTTGCAGGAGGCTTGGCCTCTGCTGAAATGTATTTGTGTGTTGTTGGTGTGAAGGAGGCTAAGCTAAGAAGCTAACCGGAAATCGCGTGTGCTGTAAACAACCCTACTGAGAGGAGAAATATACCGAGCTGAACGAGACGACTGTAAATGAGAGCTGCTGCTTTGTCAGACAAATATATATTTAGTTTGGAAGCCTTATCAACACGGACTGGCTTCAATCACTTCCTCCACTGCCATATGCTAAATTAACTAGCAGACACTGCGCAGAACATCAACGTTCTCTTCTCTGATTGGCCCGGCTAAAAATCTGTCAGCAAAATCCATCTCAATGGGAGARGTCCCAGACGGAGCAGWGAAGGGAAACTAGAATTGAGCAGAGCTGCGTAGGAAGGYAAGGGCCAGGCTAGTGTTTGAGAGAACCCAGCATGGTGGATCTTGGATTTTTCTTAATAAGGGACCATCAAGTGCAAAATTCATAGAGAGCACAAGTATTTGTTCTACATCCTTGCAATCAAATCTCTGTTTTTGGTAAGGTCTATACATTTACCCAGTCACACATGTTCAAACATTTTTAATGTAATGCAGTTTTAAAAAACTTGCATAGTAAATTMTTCTTACCAWTTTTACAAGCATTTTTACTGTACATGGATAAAATACTCTCTAACACACAGCATGTGAGAAAATGCAGCCATTGTTTGTCAGGTGAATGACTTTTTGCATGATTGTTCAAAATTTCTTAAGAAGAGAAGAAGACKTCTGTGATCTTTACTCATGCTGGACATTATTTGACTCATTAGCACCACTAGTGTTTGGACATGGCATTCGCCATCATTGCTTTTGGGCATGAGAAAGATTAGGTGACAGGACAGGGGCACTTCAGGGGGATCAGATTTCAGCTGGGGCCAGAACTACTAGAACCATCCCTGGGCTGCAGATTTTAATCTCTGTCACAAAAAAGAAAATAACTAATTTATGTGGGAAAGGTAAAGCATGGCATGACTCAACCCTCTGCCTGCTCARTGGGCTTCTGTGGCAACCTCCTCACCCCACATAGTTAGTGGGGGRAAAAGCAGAGAAGGAATTCTCCCATTGTCCATAAACAGGGTGTCCTTAAAATATTTAAAGAACCATATGCTTTTGTTCACAGGTATGTCCATTATGTTTTTGATCTCGGCAATGGCCCATCGCTAATGAAGGGCAACTCTGACAAACCACTCAATGACAACCAGTGGCACAATGTGGTGGTGTCCCGGGATGCCAACAACGTACATACACTGAAGATCGACTCACGCACCGTGACACAGCACTCCAATGGAGCCCGCAACCTGGACCTCAAAGGTAATGTTTTATTCAGCACTGAAACATTTTCAAAGGCACGTGTCCACTTAAGAAAATAAATGGGCGCCCCATTCTTGTTCTGCTCCTCAAGTATTGTTGGAAACAGGCCACAAACACATTGCAGCAGAAATCTAAATTAGTTCCACTTTCAGAATGCCACTTAAATGTGCCAGTTGTATTATTCTATGACAGAGCCTCATTGTTTTGTCGTGCCTATAAGGTAAACTCTGCCAAGATTTATTTTTTTCTTTCTGTTTGCTATACTGAAAAAAACATATCAAATGCAATGTTTTGTCAATGCTTTGCTCCTGTAGATTTTTATAGTGACAAGTATGGTAAAGATGTTCACAAGGGAGTTTAAGTGCCTCGCGTCTGCTGGAAAACTGGAAATGGCAGCCTTTTTTTACAAAAGGCTACTGTCTACTTTTGCAGTTTGAAGAAGATGAAAAGGAGCCAAACACATTGTCATGCCTCCTTGGAAGAAATATATGAATGATAAATAACAGAGAATCATTAAGATTAACCTTGGATGTTTCACTTTGATTTTGCCGGGTTCATGTTGCAGAGTTCAAAATGCTTTAGGGAAATGGYTCTCAAATTATTGTACAAGTATCACTGTTCGTTTGCATGATCTTCTCATAGGTACTTGGAATAATTCATGGTGTCAACTATGCTTGAAAACAAAAACTAATTATTTATCAAAGCTGAACTGTGACACAAAACTGAAAAGCAAAGACTAGTGGCTCAAGAACATTACAAACYTGGCTCCAAATGAAAAATATTTGCAACTGTTATGGTCAAAAGTGGTTTTAGGTTTGTTGTTATACTTTTGGGACACATTCTAATTAGTAGACCTGAAGTTTTTTGTTTGTTTGTTTGTTTGTTTTTTGTCATTAAGACCTTGAGTTTACAGGTTGTTTAGGTCACTGTAAGTGTTTAGGTCAATGGGAACTTCAGTTCCTTGGGTGTTAAAGTTACAAGGACCTTGAGTTTATTG